GATGACAGGCTCACACAGTAGTTGGGTGTCTGAAATCACACTGCAATTGTTGGCAGTTTGGGCAGTAGTCAATATACCTGTATTGTCAGGGTAAAACAACATTTCTCAAAGGACAGGTCAATCTTGTTGAAATTGGTTAGTGTGATGGGGAAAAGAAGAGATGTCCACTTCAACTGGAGGATCAAGTGATGGAAGGTGAGACAGAGCCCCCACTCCCAGGTCCTGGGAGTTTGATGGAAACCTTTCTCTTTTTTTAGAGCCGACTACATTGCATGGACTCTGTACTTTAAGCTGCTATAAATGCGATAATTATGTTTTATATTTCTGCAGTCGGTTACTGCATGTATACAGTCCATATCCTGTATGGATTGAATATGTGTACATGCTGCTAGCTTGCCTCTAGGGATGGCAATATCAGTATATCAGTTGTCAGGTTGTCAAAACTATATAATGAACCATTGTATACAAACATTCATGGTCCCCAGGGGATGACTCCTCCAGAAACACCATGAGGTCCAACTCTCTGATTATTATTCATTCATAATGACATTCGGTACACAACACTGAAGTTATCCACATGGTTCTTGTTTGTGTGGAAGAGAAACTCCCTCTGGGTGGAACTTTGATATTTTAGCCTTTGCAGACAATTCACATGCACACAAACCTGTATAACACTACAGGAACATTTCAAAAAGCTACATAGGGCCCCTATAAGTTTACCTTCTGTATAATCTTTTATATATTTGACTTTTGGAAGAACCATTAGTTTGGTTTGTGTGTGTAATCCTTTAATGGGGCAGAGGGAAAGCTCCAGCCTGGTCTTCAAGTCAAGAAGAACACATCTACTTTGGGTCCTTTGGGGATCCAGCCCCTGAACATCTTGTTTCTTTCTGTCCCTTCCAATATTTTCATGCCTCTTTCTGGTGTCTGGGCACTGGTAATGAGTTTCCCCCTCAGCACTAGGAGCCCTGGCTCAAGATGCTCTTTGCTTACTTTTCTGAAATGCACTGGAGCTTGAGCAACAGAGACTGTCATTAAGTGTTCCTCTCTGGAGAACTTCTCCTCAGATCTCATTACACTTCTCAGGTGCACGCACAGATGCACTTCACTACATGCTCTATATCATTCCCTCATGCTTCCTCTATCTTTGTCTGCCTCTCTCTGTCACACACACATGAACACACGTCAAGAAGCTGTGCAAATGCAAGCTTTCACTCAGACACATCCATCCTTGTGGCCATCTGGTAGTTTGATTTGCAACAATCCAATGCATCAAAAATAATAACGGTTCGAAAATAGGAATGTATTTGTTGCCAAGTGTTTTGCTAAAGCATGAAAAAACATGAGCGAAAACACACACTTCACATCCGTGTTGACTGACAGCATCTGCGCTCATAGCTGGTAAATATGTTAACCTGTTAAGTGGCAGTGTTCCCACCTGGTGCAAAGATCACTTCAAAATCTGATAGAGGAAAAATATATGGAAGCGTGGGTATTTGAGCGCAGGGGATTGATGAGAGGAGGAGGTGAATGGCTTATATAAGGTAGCATCCACTCTTCCCTCTGATGTTCCCTCTGTTCACTCTCCATTCCCCTGGATGCAGTAGGCGGGGAGCTTTTATTGCTGTGCTTGTAGCTGTATGCGTATGTCGCGGGCATGTTAGCATAATATGTATAAGGAATCCCTCAGATGTTCAGACCCTTTACAATCAACTCTACATACACTGGGGACAAAAAGTGTTTCTGGAAACTGCCTATATGAAAAGGTATGAGCCAATATGCAGGAGTCAGCAGAGTTCTAGTAGTAATGCAGGCATATTTTCCATCTGTCTCTGACACCTTTTAAAGATTCACCAACTTGGATCATAGATCAGGGCCAACTGAATATAAATAACAGAAAACAGGCTCATTGCTGCCAACGTGAAAACAATTGCTATGTGCCATTTGTGATTTATTTACCCACAACTCAATTCCATTTACTATTTCAATTTACACTAACTTTTTCAGAATAACCAGTGATGTTTGAGTATTTTATGTAAATAATTGGGTTCTATATTTAAGGATTATACAGTAGCCTGTATTATATTTCAACTTTATATAGGTTTGTTTCCAAAATGTCTGCTAAAAAATGCATGTTATTGTTATGTTATAGCCCAATAGGGAAATTGATAAAGTACAACAGAAAAAAACGAAATACTAATAGCTTTGATTCACTTTTACGAGCCATGTTGTATATCTTTCTGGTTTTGTAGAATTGTAGATAACAGTTTAATCAATAATTAAAACAGGCAACTATTCAGTGAACTCTTTACACACTTTTCTGCATTCATTATAGTTCACAAACTTTGATGAGTAAACGTTGTTTAAACAGCGTTATGATATGATTATGGTAGACCGATAAGTAATTGCACTTAGTGCCATAACTTTCCTAATCAAGCTTAGATTGGGAACATGCTAATAACATATCCTCATACACGTTTTATTAAAGTAGCTAATTTCTATTCTATTACGTTGTAATTGACGTGCTTATTTATCTTCCCTTATCATTTCCTTCTCACACGCCGTTCTGTCTTGCTGTCTTGCTCACCTTGTATCTCTATCTGTGTGCTCTCTCTAAGGTGTGTGTGTGTGTGTGTGTGTGTGTGTGTGTGTGTGTGTGTGTGTGTGTGTGTGTGTGTGTGTGTGTGTGTGTGTGTGTGTGTGTGTGTGGTATTCTGTTGGGCTTTTCTCTCCCGTTGATCTGCTCTCATCCTCAGCGGAGCAGGCTTAATTACAGCGTGGCTCTCTGCGCTCTGCTTGCCGCTGATTAAAAGGGACACTGACGCTCCGTAGGGAGAGCATGACTGGGAGTTTGTTCACTTTCATGCACACTCTGCTTATCTATGTCTGACCAGCTCCATTACCATGGCTCTGAGGCCCAGTTTGTAATTGCCTCTCTTTATTACTGCGCCTACATGTCAGGCCAAGGAACAAGGACCCGCCGCATCAATGGAGAGTTTGTGTGGCGAGCAGGGAATGCACACATACACATTCTCTCATGTGCACAGCGTAAATGTGAATGCGGAGACATAGGGCATGCAGGAAAAAAAGTATTTTGAAAGCGAGTTAGTGCCATGCTGAGGAGAGTTGACCTAATAAAACAGAAACCATCGAACCCTCACATCAATGCCTGGCTTAGCCTCTGATGGTCAGCAAACTAAAGGTTTTACACTTTATTCTTTTGTGCTTTGCGCCTATGACTACTGGGTTCATATATTATTATTATTATTAGGAACTACTTTGAAATAATGTTCCCTTTATAATTGTGGTTTATAAGTTGTATCTAATGCTTTATTTAATAGAGCAGTTCTTTGAGCTGGAAATGCTAACATCAGCATTACCGCAATGACAATGCTATATTGCTGATATTTTAGAATATTTACTATAATAGTTTTTTGTGGTATGGTGCATCAGCATATTATCAGTAAACTCAAATACCCTAAGGATAATAAGATTGTTTTCCTAGGTATATGGTTATAAACCAAACTATTGGAAATAAATCACAAAAGTTGTCATAATTCACACTGAAGGGAAATTATTTTCCTGCCATTCCTTAAAATAGATGCAAACTTCAACATCATCAAAAACAGCTTACCCTCAAATACCCCTTTTCGAACAAAGCGGTTCCAAGGCCGGTTCTGGTCTGGTGCCCGAATCCAAACCACTTTTCACTGCTTTGTGTTTCCACCAAAGGACCAGAAAACTGGTTCTCATTTGGAACCAGCAACTACTGGGCTGGAACTGAGAAACACGTACATACATCAGAGGGTTACATTCAAGGCTTGGGCGAAATTAGCCTTAGCAATATACTGAATACAGTGAAGAGTAGAACATTTTTTAAATCAGTAGAGCCGAGAACCCAAAGTGAAGCACCTGTTTGAGAATGCCGGTGAAGCACATTTCGCGTGCCCCTCCAGGACTCTACATATGACGCTGAATTAAAGTGCATAAAAATGTGACACGTCCCCTTGGAGAAGAGTATAAAGCTTGGGATGCCGCTCTTCAATTAGATCTGGCTTCGTATGAATAAGAGCAGCATGAGCAAAGCTCTAAAACTACCATTGTTGCTGTAGTGATGTCATGATGTGGCTTTTACTGGGCTTTTGACAGCGGAAAAGCCAACTGGTTCCTGGTTGGTTCAACATTGTGAACCAATTGCAAACCAAGCTAGCACCAGAGCGGAACTTATTTCAATTGAAAAGCGAAGCGTGAATGTCTGTTCAAAATGTCAGCTAGAGATATAAAGGTTATATAACATTGATAAGAATAACTTGAGGATGGCTAAAAATCTCTTGCATTGCTTGGTTGTGGAGCTGCAGGGCACCTGGGACCAAAATCCATTCATTAACACCTGTATTTAAACCGGCTAAATGGCTCATTAGAAATGTAGAAACTAATGATGACTCGTTAATTACACAGCGTATTAGAAAGCGCTCCCTGTAATTGTGTTTCCTACAGCTGGATGTAAAGATGATATGGATATGTTCGTCATGCTGCTGCTCCTCTCCGTGGGGACCTTCATGCTGGGACTAGATTCTGTAACAGTACATCACCTGTGTGGAGCTGACTCAGCGCCTCTCATCAGGGTAGAGAGAGTGCATGATTCCTGGGGTAAAACAGGCAGATGTCAGCTGGCTTCACAGAACATCCTTCAGCAGATGGCAAAGCTCACTGATCAAGACCCTGAATATGTGTGGAAGTCAGCAAATTTACAATTTTCTTCACACTCTGTGTGTGTCTGCTTGTAGTGCTGCAGATAACCCGCCGTAAAAGGTCAAGAACAAGACAGGACATTTCTTATCTTCTAGGCGGTGGAGAGTAATTAAATTGCTCTAAAAGAACACTCCAGTTGAAGACACATTTACAGCGTTGAGGTTTCTCCTGTTGAATTACTGTCTGTCAAGATTGCAATGCATAAACACACTTATAAGTGATGTGTTTCCTGTTTTGTCATTTCACAGGCTCCATGAAAGTGAGATAGGATTTAAACCAGCGTTGTCTGCGTTTGAGTTCCAACAACTGCTTTACAACCTGACGTCTCTTAGAATCAGCAACGCCGGAGGACAGAACTGTAAGTGTTTTTGTGTCTTTGCTTAGAAAATCAAAATCAACACATAGCATTTATATTCTTTTTGCTGAGGATTTTAAAGGGCTGCACCACAGTTGGCAAAAGATACCAAATTCATCATTATAGACTTGTTCCTTACCTTTGGAGCATTGCTGTGCATCTGCAAAAGTATGAAGGCAATATGGTAGAGAAATTAACATTGTGAAATATATTAGTTGAATGCATTCCTATTAACAATTAAAAAGTGCCACAGAAAAATTACAACATTTGAATCTTGTATTGATTAAAAATACATTGTCATGAAAAAGTAGCTACTGCTGCACCAAATATAGTTCCTAAAACAATGTCAGTGTTGTATTCGGGGAATAGTTCAAATGTTCCAAATCTGGCTCAGCAAAAAAAACATGACATTTATTCCCAGATGTAAGTAACTAGTTCTGGAAATCCTCTTCTTATATTTATCCTCCTCCCTCTGTATCTGAGAGTCTGCATTGTGAAGTGCAGGCAGGATCTGAGAGGCATTACAGCGGATTAGAGAGCGAAGAAGACAGAACAGCTGGCCAAAATCACCAACTCCCTCACACTTTACTTACACCATTTTAATGAGTTGCTCAGCGAAGGCGTTGTGACACACACTCATGCGCATTCAAAAAGACTACCACAGGAGTTTGTACACACACAAACAGGAGCGTGATCATGCATATTCCATCAATGAGCTTCCTGTAAGCACACACCCACATGAGTGTACAAACAAAGTCAGCTCACAGTTCACTCTGTATCTATCGCACATCACAGGGGAGAAACTGTGTTAATGATTTGTGTTCCGTCTCAAACACATTTGCAAACAGTGTCAGATGTGCCTTATCGCTGACGGTTGCGCAGCAAACTTTATATTTAAATTCCCATAAAGCTCTGCTCTCTCCCCCTCACATCCTCCTCTATTCTTTAAAATGTCTCTCTGAGTTCCCTTCTAACAAAACCGTATTATTTTAATGAGAGTATTGTCCTTAGACTATAAAGGCAGTCTTTGACAGCAGTCACGGTGAAGTCCTTTCATTCTCACCGCCACAGAAATGTAGATTTGAACAGAGATCACAGCCTTAGTGGAACTGTATGATAGATCAATGGCTTAATGAATGTACAGGTACCTAAAGAGACTCACACTGTAATAGTTGGCAGGGCTGCAGTGAGCCATTTAAAATCTTGACAAGGTTTCCTGCAGTAAGGATTGATGGAGGGAACTTGCACAGCGTGACTTAAAATGAAATGTTTTTTAATTAACTGAAATAGCGGTTTCAGTGTCTGAATATTGTTTTAATTGCACATTTTCCTCTGTTGAATGAGCTAGTAGAATTCAGGAGTTAGAGGGGAGTAAAGGGTACGGGCTAAGGCGAGTGATGGAGAGGAAAGAGGACAGGCATGCCTACTGATTATCCCTCACAGGTGCAAATGAAGCGGGTTTCATCACCGCTGAAGGAATGGCTGGATCATGACTTCTTAGAAGTCAAGGTCCATCCTCTCCCCTGCTTCTCCCACTCAGAGTTCCCTCATTATGCAGCCATCCATTCACACATGGTTTATTTCTTATCTGACAAAGCTACATAGAGAGACGTGCACAGCCTATTCTACCTATCCATCCATCTTGTGTTCCTTCAGCGAGAGCAGTCACTGTATTGGACCAGGAACAAAAGTAATTTTAGTTTTCTGTGGCTGCGGTTTAGAGAGTGTAGGGTGAAAGGATTCGGTTCAGGACGGCCTGCCCCCATCACTATTCATGAGAGGAGAGAGGGATGTTGAAAGCCCAGAGGAACTGCACGTCTGACATACCTCCACCTAGTCTCCTGTCTCCTTTTCTTCTCGTCTTGCCATGCTGCAGTGATTTATTCATTTGCCATATCAAAGATTCCCTCTGTGACGAGTGTACGTGTGGGCGCATGCGTGTGTGTGTGTGTGTGTGTGTGTGTGTGTGTGTGTGGGTGGTTGTGTGTGTGTGTGTGTGTGTGTGTGTGTGTGTGTGTGTGTGTGTGTGTGTGTGTGTGTGTGTGTGTGTGTGTTTGTATTTGTGAGATAGAGAGAGAGTGTCTGTGTGTGTGTGTGTGTGTGTGTGTGTGCGCGCAATTGAGCATTAAGTGTGGCATTTACGGGCGGATAAATGGTGGATGAATCTGTTATTGTGTGCGTCTGTATATGTGTGTGTCAGACTGTAAACTGTAAACACAGTCCAGAACCTGTAATGAGACAGGGAGGGAGGGACAGCACTGCAACAAATGCTAATAACCGACTGCTTAACGAGATACAGAGGCACACACACACACACACACACAAACACGCCCCTCATGAGAGAGAAAAGCAGGTTCCACAAACACGTCAACAGGCCTCTGAGGCAACGGTTATTAGTTTACTACTGACCTTTATATGTATCAGTTTTATAGCAAAGCGCTAATTTATCTTCCTTCCTCTGCAGACACGTCGCAGCTCGCGGAGGTATCCCTCACCTCAGCTTCCATCTCCTCCGGCCCACCAAATCCTCATGCCCCCTGGGTAGAGTTTTGTTCCTGTCCCCCGGGATTTGCGGGACAGTTTTGTGAGCGGTGTGCCCCAGGGTTCACCCGGGAAGACCCCAGCAGAGGGCCGCTCTCCAAATGTGTGCCCTGCCACTGCCACGGGCATGGAACCTGCCACCCAGAGACAGGTGAGAGAAGAGTGAAACATTTACAATTGATTTAGTATCTACATGCATTGAAATTATATTTGTGTATGCATGCTGGCTTTGATGATACTTTAATGAAAACTATTGCCAATGCCTGTGTTTCATTGACACGTATAGCCTGAAAAAAGCAAGATCATGAATCAAGTGCAGATTATTTAATATTTGAAGAAAACCTCCAACAGTTGTACATGCCAAAGTCAATTTACTATTCACAGGGAGTGGTCCTCATGCTGTGAAAACGAGAATGTGTTCTATGGCTTTGCAGGGGCTTTGTCAGGTTTATTAAAATAAGTGATATTAGCTAAGCATATAAGCGCAGAAAGTCTAAAAGATATGTGCTGTGTGCAAAAAAGGAAAAGAGTGTGCATGAACAATGGAAAAAATAAGTGTCATATCACACACAACTTTGAACAATCACACATTGCAGAGCTTTGTTTTCTTGATAAGAAAGACAGCATTGTAAAACTCCATACATCAACATGGATATCTTTCCAATCCCTGCCATACGTCCTATCACCGGATCATGGCTATTAAGTTGCCTTATACGATGTGTAAAATCCCATATTTTTGGAGGCTGACCATCATTAGGAACGAAAAGTAAGGATGACTCAGCCTCTGCTTCATCAACTTGACCTTTATTTGGCAATCTGTCTCATGCCAGTGCTATCCTATACTGTCAGTATTCCTAAAATAAGGAATATGAGTCAAAGGCCTCATTGTGTTACTTTGTCCTTAGTGTTGTGACTTTAGTAGTGTCAAACGGGTTGTAAACTTTATCACTTTTGTTCATAGTTTTCTCAGTAGAGTAAAGATAAAATCCACCATTTCATAATTCATTGCTCAAACCATTTCCACTTTAAGTTCTGGCTGTGGAAACTAAATTTGCTCTATTACAGTATCAAAATGTAAAACTCATCCAAGTTCCTACTAACGGCCCGTCCAAACGGCGGCGTGCGTTGAAGCTTCAACGCTTCTGCCCATTCACTTTGAATGGGGTGACGTCACGCTTTGCCGAACTGCATTGTGGTTCCGTCGCTTCGCTTTGCTCGCGTTGCTCGCGTTGCTCGCGTTGCTCGCTTCAAAAGTTGAGCAATGTTCTACTTTTGAAGCTTCGACGGAAGCGTCAGCCAATCAAATCATATGCCAGTACAAGCTCTAGCCAATCAAACCGCGTGCTTGTGTGTCCGGGGCGGGAGAGTCATGTGATTGGTTGTTGGTCGAGTTTCAGACACGCCCACCGGCAAGCTTCAACGCACGCCGCCGTGTGGACGTTGCAAAGCTGTTCTTCCGCAGCATTCAGCCGGCGTTACACGAGACGAGGGACCATCAGAGGTTGTTGAGACAATATTTTCTGTTACCGTGCCTCCAAGAGAGCACAGGGAACAGAAAGAGATGAAGGCTGTTGCACTGAAGTATTTTTCTGTGTCTTCCCAGAGCTGACATTCAGTCATCATCGCTTCAAGGGAATGTAGCTCAGCCTTCCCTCAGGTGTATTGGCAAGCTATCACTCAAACTGTGAACGGGATGACTGTGCCTTTACAGCAATACCCTCATTTCACAAAGCTAATCTTTATAATAACAGCCTAACTAGGAGTGTGTATTCAACACACCTGACATTTTTATGGCCGATAATAACAGCAGCTGCAGTATTCTTTCAGATTCATGTCCTAAACGCAGCGTCCCCTAAATGACTGAAGTAAAACAGCAGCTGGTGGTGTGTAAACATGTCAACCTCTATGCTGTTATTTATATGTGTGTGTGTGTTTGTGTTTACTCTTTCTTTTTCTCCCTGAGACTTTTCCACACTTATCTCAGTCTCACAGCTTTAAACAAGTACTGCCACCTCACCAAGAACAGACAACTCTCCCATCCTCCATCTTTTATCTTTCTTCAATCTTTCCCTTCCTCTCTTTCTCTCCCTACTACCCTCAGACTTAAAGTATCAGAGATCTGACCTAGTTAGGAGACGCCTCGAGCTGTGTGTGTGTGTGTGTGTGTGTGTGTGTGTGTGTGTGTGTGTGTGTGTGTGTGTGTGTGTGTGTGTGTGTGTGTGTGTGTGTGTGTGTGTGTGTGTG